CGGAACGGCACGCAATGTTTTCTATTTGTGGGCACACGACTTCTCTTCTCTTGCAGGGCTAGCAAGAATTCGAATCTTACATCGAGGACGTGCGCCTCGAGTTGTAGACCGGTTCTAATACGCCCGCCTTCCGAGGTCTCCCGGTGCATACAACTGTTGCAACTTGCGATTGATGTATACACGCGGACTGCGTATAAGAGGGCGTCTTTGAATTTCCTGATCTCGGCCTCGGCCGGGCAGGGCAGAGACAAAGAAAGGACGGGCTATAAGAAGCTGATATTCAGGAACGTGTTTTTTTGTGTGGTCAAGCTGAACAGCAACGCACACCAAAAAACGAGCACAAAGGCGGCTTATTCAGTCGGATCGCTGCGGTGGGCGATAAAGTGGAGATGTGTACCCATCGATGGGCGCATGCTGCGGAGAAAGAGATGGAAAACCGTAGAAGGGATGCTTGCGTGAGCATCTCGGCAACGGAAACGTCGGAACAGCTTACGTGATCTGGGGGCAGAGCGTTTGCTTTGTATTTTCTTCCTCTTTCATCAATGACTACGACTACTACTACGATGCTAGTTGACACATACAGCGACCTATCCGATATCTTCCATACTGAACTTTTCTACCCCCCAACATCCATCCCATCCCCATCCTCCTCGCCCGCCCAATCGCCTTTTAGCCATGCACTGCTCACACCACCCCAATCCACTCTCCCCACTTCGTTCCCTGACATCCACCTCGACAACTCTATTGACACTCATCCGATCGACAGCTCGTTCTTCACACTCTTTGACGATGAGCTTAAAGCCAGCAGCGGCACTGCGGACCACCCACACCACCACCCATATGACTCGTCCACACCATCATCATCATCATCAACCTTCTTCGATATGGGGTTCGACCACATGAACATGTCCTCCATGATGGGTATGAGCATGGGCATGGGGATGGACATGTCCCTCACCTCTCCCTTGATGCCAATCGACGACTCCACAGCCATCGGTATCGACCCACAACTCGTCGATTCCCCCGCTCCCCAATCGCAGCACTCCTCCCAAACGGACTTTGATGCGGATTCGACGGCTGTTGAAGATGAAGCTGAAGAGGAAGAAGAGAAACTCGTCCTCACGATCCCACCCGTCAAAGTAGGCGGACATGGGAAGGCGAGGAAGGGGACGGTGCAGAGTGGTGGGATCGTCAAGAAGAGTGGTGGTGCGGGTATCGGTGCGGGTGTGAAGGATAAGGAGAATACGAATACCGGGATTCATCANGCGAAAAACAAGACCCAGGTAAAAAGGNCGGGGTACCAAGATCCCCCCTCCCTCCGCTCCTGCTCCTGCTCCACTGCATCCCTGTTTACTCCCGCCGTGCCAATCGTGGTGAATCAGCCACCTACGTCGTTACCCTCCCCGCCGGACCAGCATACGACGGGCCAAGGGAGCGAACATGGTGGTGATGATGATGACGACGAGTTACCGCATGATTGGCGTCCTTCGCCTGAAGTGTTTGCGAAGATGACGAGTAAGGAGAAGAGGCAGCTTCGGAATAAGATTAGTGCAAGGAATTTTAGGGTTCGTAGGAAGGGTGAGTTGTCGTCTTTCTTTCTTTCTTTTTTTTTTTTCTTTTCTTAGCGCTTTTCTATTTCTATTTCTTTTCTTTTTCTCTTCGTCCCCCTTCAAACCCAACTCACACCCCCTCCACACAGAATACATATCAACACTAGAAGGCGACATAGCCGAACGCGACAGACTCCTCGACGCCATCCGTACCGAGCTCGGGTCATCAAAATCCGAGAACCTAGCCCTCCGCCAGGAGATCGCAGCGCTTAAGCGGACACTCCTCTCCGGCCGTGGAGACATTGGTTTGACCACCGGGGTGGACGTCAATGGGATCGAAGCCCTGAATCTACCACCGCCCGCACCGTTACCGGAGATGAGCGCTGCAGAGGTGTTGGCCGCTGCCTCACTTGCCTCTTCTTCTTCCACCTCTTCCTCCTCCTCCGCATTTGCATCCACCTCAACCTATCAAAGCACAGGCCTACTGACGCCAAACACACAAAAAGACCTCCCCTCCTCCTCCTCCTCCTCCCAAGGGAAACAAGGGTTCTGGGGCGGCTTTGGAGGTGGCGGTGTGATGCCTGTACATACGGCTTTGGTCCCGGATGTGAGCTTGGAGAATATTAATCCTGCTATGAATGGTAGGAGGGACAGGGACAGGGACAGGGAGGGGGCAATGGGGAATAAGACGGGGATGGGGATGGGTGGGTTTGATGGGTTTGCGGATTTGAATCCGTTTACTATGAAGACTTTGGATGCGTATGTCTTTTTTTTTGCGTTTTCTTTTTCTTTTTCTATCGTGTTATTCTTCGTCCGCTTGATTCGTTCTCAACCCCCATGGTTCTTTCTTTTGTTCCTATGATGCATCTTTGCCAATTGCGAATCCCTTGCACGATCGCATTTGATACCCTGCGCTTCCTCTCCGCTTACCTTTTTTTATTTTTTATTTTTTATTGCTGTTTTTTATTCAATTTTTTGTTCGATTTTTTCTGCTCTTTCAAGTCCTTTCTTTGGGAGCTAACTTTGGGGATTCTTACGCGTCCTTTTTTTTCTTCTCTTTTTGAAGAAGGGAAGGACTTTCTTTTTGCCCTTGCCCCCAACTTCACATCTTTATTTCATGTTTTTTCGCCTTCCCTCGTTTTACTTTGAACTCGTGTCCCTCTCCCCTTCTTCCTTGCCCCCACCTCTTCAGCCCAATCCTCTTTGCTGTTTTTTTTTTTTTTTTTTTGCTATTTTTTGTTCGACTTTTTCTGCTCTTCCTCAGTGCTTTCTTTGGGAGCTCCCTTTGTGGACGCTTACGCGTTCCTTTCTTTCTTTCTCTTCGTTGGCCAAAGGAATAACTTTCTTTTTTTGCCTCTGAATCCGACCTGGTTTCGCGCTTATTTCTCCCCCTTCTTCCGTTTTTTTTTCTCTCTGATCTCAATTTCAAATTTTGATTTCATGTTTTTCTTCTTCCCTCGTCTTACTTTGATTTCGTGGCCTTTCCCCTTCCTCTTTCCCTCCATCTCTCCAACTCAATCTGATACCTTCTACTCATAGATACCGGATGCACCTCTGGGGCAAAATGGCCGCCCAACACCACCATCATCAATCCCAACAACACCAACACCAACAACATCAACAACCTACCCAGCCCCTCACCGGGCTGGCGTCCAACCTCCGCCCACATTATTTCAACAGCGGCAACAAGCCAAACTTACCATCGACGTACACGTACAATGGGTATGGGAGCACGCTTTCCGCGCTGCTTTCTGGGAAACAGGCGTCTTCATCTTATCCTACACCGCCGTCGTCGCCTTTACTCCTTGGCAAGGACGCACATCTGCAGAGACAGCAGCAACAGCAGCAGCAGCAGCAACAAGAGAGGGAGGTGCAGAACGCTGTATTAGCTGCCATGGCGAGTCAGACGATATTCCGAAAGATGGGTTCGGCGTTTTGGGATGCTTTTTCTGGATCCTCACCTTCTTCCTCTTCTTCTTCGGGTGGTAATGGTGGCGGTGCACCGAAGAACTGGGATGCGGATAAGGTTAGGAGAGTGTTGGAGGGCAAGGCTGTTGTGCGTGTTGTGGATGTTGATCAGGTTACGCCGCCTGGGTCGCCGATGGTTAGGGCTGCGACGCCGTCGAGTGTCAAGGCGTCGACGGCGAATTCATCAACGTCAGCAACGCAAAAAGTCCCCACGTCACCGAGACTTCGCGCAGGATTGACGCAGGATGAGAAGAAGCGGTGTGCGATGGCGGATACGATGTGTGATATTTTGGAGGAGAGTATGCGGAGTTTGACGTTGAGTAAGAAGATGTGAGGGGAGGTTGAAGATGATGAAAGGGGACGAAGACGAAGAAGGCAAAAAATCTAGAACGATGAACTCGACAAAGAAGAAGTTTGATATGTTTGTTTTAATCGCGCCGGCTATAGCGCTGCGTCATGGACTTTTCCTCGTTAATAATCATCACCAACACCACCACTTACTTTCCTCGGCTCTTTGTATCGTATCGGCGATTTCCAACTCCCACTGGCCCTCTCCGACTCGCGCCTCACTCTCCTTCCGGCATTCTGGTCCTGGATCCTTTTGCTAAACGCGTACATGCGGTGGACAAGCAAGAAGTTTTATTAATCCGTGGGGCGAGAGCAATGAAGAAGTAAACTGCGGTAGATCCAGGATCTGGAAGGTCGCGGATGAAGGCTGGTTTTTCATTTCAAGCATGCTGCGGCGAGGACACTTTACGTTTACTTCCTTTCGTGATCATATCACTGGCACCACTCTCCTTCGCGATTGGTTTTTTTTTTCCTATTGCAAAGCGGCTTTTCTTCCCTCGTAGTTGTAATCGCGCAATGGCCTTTCTCGCGTGGCCTTTTCTCCACATCGACCCCTCTCTCTACGTACATGCATCAGCCCTTGCAAGTTTTCTCTCTCGTACTCGTACTCGCGCACTCCACTCTCCTTATTTATCAGCAAGTTTCCCCTCCCGTACTCGTACCCGCGCACTCCACTCTCCTTATTTACTAGTTCCGGTTCCTCTGATCGCCTACCGTATGTGTAATCTGAATCACAATTGAGATCTTTATTCACATCTAACACGCCCTCAAGAGTATTCTATAACACGCGCACCTCGCGTCGAGCGTCGTCCTTAATCTCCGAAACAGAACCCTGCCTGCCAAATGCCAAATTGTTATTATCACCCCGTCACGACGGCTCACGCACCTCTGACTTTTTCGCCCTATGTCCGTCCCTCAAATCTCTATACATATGTCCGCCACCACTGCGGCGTGCGCCACCTTTGACTTTGGTCCAAGCTTTCGTGACTTCAATGCTCTTGTCAGGAGATCGCGTGCGCGCGCCACCCCCCTCACGTCATACTGCGCATAGCGCTAGATTTTTACCGTTTGCTAGGCGTTTTAGGATTTGGTGACGGGGGGACGAACATACTCAATTTCCTTGCCACTCCACTTATAGATTTCTGTTCCTTGTCGTAAGTATTTACTTGACCTTTTTCGTTCCTCTCCTCAATTAAATATGTACGTTCCGTTGATGGACGCCTAGTCCTGTCTAGTTGTTGGTGACGCATGACGCATATACGTAAATTCGGACCTGGAGTCTGGCGCCTATCATGATCAACAAACAATCATCTGCCCATCTTTCTCAGGAAACCTCTAACAACTGTCCAGTCATTCTGACTGATTCACTGAAGCTGGCAACTCGAGAGTCTGTCCTGTGAGTTCATATCCGGTGTCCGTCTGAAGCCTTAGATATCCCATGAGATTGTGTTTGATCATATTACTTCTCAACGCATGGCACGAAGGTAAGCTAGGAAGCTCACAACTGCTCACATTCCTCCTTGAGAAGCGGACATGACATCTACCCCTTCCAGCCCTATTCTCATTTCGGCGATTTAACGATCCACAAAAGGAATAACATAAAAGGCACTATGGATTTCTCGAAGAAACGGGCCCTGCCGTGACGAAATAACCATCCGCAACCGATTGTGGCGATCATGTCAAGGTACGCGTCCTGTCAGGTACCAACCCAGCAGTTACCATAACGATTTATGGTTCGAAAGTTCCATTAGGCGAACTTGCCATACTTGGACGCAAATTTCGAGCTAATCTCGAATTGGAGTGCTCATTCGGAGGCCTTAGGAAATTCTCCCAGCTACTTACTCTTGATAATTCTCGATGGATGCAATGTGGGTATCATCGAAAACTCAGCGGCGTCCCCGGCATGCCTAGGCGCTAGAACCACAAAGAACCCACACACCACAATCACAACCACCTAATAACAAAAGCTTCTTCAGGATCCCAATCCCCCCTCTTTTATTCCATCCGCCTCACCTCCCTCGTTGGTTTGATTTTCCCCCCCCGCGACGTACTTTCTCTCCACTTACCTGAACCCGAACCTGACACCACGCACAAGCCGCGCGACATGAACGCGGTGGGCCATCCTTCTTCTTCCTCTTCTAGTGGACCAGGCATGCGCAGCCCTGCGATAAGACGCAGCATGAGCAGAGCCTCGCGTATCATCACGAGCCCAACGCCGCACCCGTATTTGGACTCTTCGACGTGTCGTTGCTCGTCGTGCCATTTGAAATCCGCCATATTCCCGCGCAGAACGGATGGGAAGATTGTTCTCCCGAGACCGAGACGACCGCCCAAGCAAGGTGAGGGATTAGTTGTTGTCTCTGTTGTTTCGATTGAGCTCTGATCTCCCCTTGTCATTTTTTTGTAGATGGCAGTGGGCGAAATTTGAAAAACAGAAAGCGGCATCGTCCGCTCGATCTTGATCACGATGACGGCGACGGGGATGCGAGGGGGAAGGGAAAAAATAGGGCTGTGATTGGGGACGGTTTGTTTATTTTTTTTTATCCCGTTTTACCGATTTGCCTCATGGAGGTTGAATGGAATTTAGACTCACTGGGGCATATGCATCCTCATGGCTTTTTTGGCGGTATGTCCGATTAATGGCTCACGCGGCTATCTGTGTTTGGTTCATTAGCTCACAGTCTTTCCTTCCACCCAGGTGGGTATCATTTGCCGTTTCATTCTACGGAGCGAATGCCGCCGTCTACGGATATGCGCCTGCCGGACATAAAATTGTCATCGACAAGTCAGTATCCACAAACCAGAGTGCTCAATCTGGTCTATTGTTAACCTCGTAATGTAGGCCCACAGACAACCCTGCCTCATTTCTCGGAGCTTAGATCGGGATCGGATGTTCGCATCCCCCCAGCCAACCCAGACCAATGGCCACGCTTCCCCAAAATTCCTGCTCCTTCTAAACATGCTGGTAAAGTTTGGTGTCGGAGTGCGGTGGACAGAAGTCTCATTCTTTCAGTAACAGACCGCTCAAAATCACATTTTGAAGTCCTAGACTTCCGGAATACATCGAAAGATGAAAGTAAGGAATCTGCCCACGACTCCAAAAATCAAGTGGTGTTGATGCTGTCATTTAGCTTCTAAATCGCCGCCAATAGATTCTTGGATTAGTTGGTTACCTGGCTCCGACGAGGCTGGAGGTCCAAGTCCATCTGATTCCTGCCAACTCAACACCTCTTCTGACGATACATTGAATTGTAGGTAAAACGCGTGGTCGACGATCTCGCTCCACATCAGTTAGCTCAAGGAAAGCAGAAGGTAAATTGCCATTGCGTGGTTTCGCCAAACCAGCTGATCGGTCTACAGGGAGCCAGGCGGCGTGGAATGCCCCAAAAAAAGCGCGACCTTCATCAGAAAAAGGTGAATCTACACCCCATCTTCCCACATGACCCTAGACCCCTTTTTGACGCCTTGAAGACTCTTCTAGATCTCGAAAATCAAGTAGCGCTGAGCCTCCACCGGGGAGCGGGGAACTGCAGCATCAATTTATCCGGTTTGGTGTGCATACTGAAAATCCACAGCCCTCAATACCGCCCCAAACTAATTACGAGGAAACAAATGGTGATAATCCTAGTAATCATGCAGTTCCGGGTACGTTCGATTATATGCTGCGACGTTGAACGCTCAAGCTGATCATGTGGAACATAGACGCGGGGGCGCAGGGAAGCGTTCTCCAAACGCGAATGAGATTGAATCCGATTAGATTTAGAGAGCCGCTCACTGCTGCGTCACGGAGCGATCGGCGAGTTTACCGCGGTGGCGTAGCCATTGTGCAGGTAAAGTGGGATTCTGATAGGAAGCGCAGGCAGGGCTATTTTGCTCCGGATAGCAATGGGGCGGAGAAGTCACCATTCAGACATTACAGCAAGGAGGATTGTTGTTTTAGTGATTGACATTAGGTGGTTGTAGCGTGGCCCCAGGTCAACTTGTAGTTAAGCAGTCTATTTTCTTTTTCATTGAGTGTCCGACATGACATGGTGTCAAAGCGTGTCTGTCCACTTCAACTGATTGCCGTCTCGTGGAAAGTTGCGTAAGAGCCCTAGGGCTAAGGTACCAAAAAAGTCGGCGAAATATGTAAGCGATCACGGACAACATACGTTCAAAAGCTCTTCATTACGGTGATTTTCATATATTTTCAATGAATGACTAGAATTGAATGAATTTCGAGAGGGATCCTGACCAGTGAAAAATAATCGATCCGGCTTTTCAGGCTCCTGAATAATTCTTGGATAAGAAATCCAGACCTTTGAACTAAGCAGGCTAGCGTGAACGCGCAAACTTTATCAATGCCCTTGAGATTACCCAGTAAGCCGCCGAAGATGGCGATAATTTGAGCGGGTGAGAAAAATATAAACCCCACACCCATCCGCAGAGCGCAGGCTCAGCCAACGAACATAGACAAATCAGTTGGCTAGAAGCTGTGAGTTTCAAAATGGTCATTGTAATTTGGGTGAACCTCTTGAAATTTGTCCCGGAAGGTGGCGTACTGGAAGACTGCGTGTTGCCGAGTGGCGCAATGATCAAGAACCAAAGTGCGAACGTTTGCCATGCGGTGAGATTTATGAATCAAAATTAAATACCGGAGGTGCGTGGCGAGGAAGCAGAATGATCAGTGCATTTTCCAGCCTCGGAGTCCCAACTCTGGTCATTTTGAACGGAGAGAACGCCAAGATTCAAGATTAACGCCACGCCGATAGCTGAGTCGAGGAAGTCACGACTCCTTCGCGGTAGAACCCTAAGACTACCAAGAGCTACAGTGTGCACCGTATCACACTTGAGTTGATGTCATTCAGGGTGTGAAGACTAGAATGTGCAAAGAATGTGTCAATAGCGGCCGAACAGCTGACCCTCTCTTCAATTGTCTTCAACCCCTTGGGTCCACCTATGATTTATGAAATCATTTGTGATCGCTGAAGGGAAGGAAAGACAAAACGGGGACGACTTCGGGCGTCGACGAATGGCAGATAACCGTATTTTTAATACGTCCACGGATAGCATACATGCTCAACTTGCGCCTATGGTTATTGAACTTTCGGAAATTCCCCTTGTAAATATCATGTGTCATTTTCCTCAGAAGACTACAGCAATCCGATCATCTGTCCCAAGTATTTACTCATTAGTTTCATGGCCTACTCACGAACATGGCGGCGACACATACCATCGACCAGCTCCGAACTCACAATACCCTTCGCACAAAGGCGCGGAAGATAACCTTCCATAGTCTCCAGCACCTCAGGAACAGGCAACCTGCTATTCGCCACCAATAAACACACCCGCTCTAAGGCCTCCGGGTATTCTGAAAGAAAATCATCAACTTTGCTCAACGAGGATAAGTCTCGGAGAAGTAGGCCGTCGGCTCCTTCGTAATGGTGGGTATAGCACCTCAATGCAACTTTTCCAATCCCACGCAAATGCGGGATTTTCCCTAGAATCTCGCACATCCAGTCGATGGTCTTGGCTGGTGTGTTGAGGCGAGGTCCCATACACTCGATGTCATCGTCAAAATTGAGAAATATGTCGAAAGAGTGCAAATTTGTGCAGATAGTGAGATCCATTTTCTCCAGCACGGCGGACATTGATACTGAAGTGTTAACTATATCAAATTTTCTACGTAAGCGGAACGTTTTTTTATTGATGGAATTCTCACCAGAGTTAGACGGCCACAACGCCAGGTGCTCTAATGAGCCTGAACACGTCTGGATGATACTCCAGATGTACTTGCACAGAACGTCACCTTTGCTTGGTCCAGGAAACGCAAGATTACGAATATGCGTCAGATCAAAAATGGAGTCTGCGTGGCGGATAAACCAATCCAAGACGAAGAGAGAGCAACTCAGCGTAAGTGATTCGAGTTGAGGACGAGGTTGCCCAGCGTCATCTGTAGTATTTTCCAGAGCTGTTCTCAGAAATTCCTGGCTTTCGCGTTCGCCGTCAAGGTCATCACTCACGCTGGGCAACCTCAAGTCCAGGTGCTTTAGCTGAGAGCAAGAGCGAAGCATAGCAAGCGGGAAATTATGAATCCAATGTATGCTGAGGGAGCTCAACGACTTCAACCGAAACATATTCATCATGGCATTTCGTAAGTGCGCGTTGAAATGGCTCCACGCCGTAGAATACTGCCACACCCCTTGGATATGGAACGTTTGGAGTTTCCGAAGCCGTGGTAGGATGGCCACCAGACATTGTGAGGTGCCAATAGATAGCCAAGTAGATACTGGGTTGAGGGTATGCCCCGTTTCGGATAGGTCGTCGGAGAGTACGAGACTGTGCACGTACGAGGCGAGGTGTGGCGATGATTCGAGCAGGTCAGTGAATTTGGCGATGATCCTCGAAGTTGGGGATTGGGTTGGAGCTTCTTGGGCTATAAAAGGTAGATAGAGCCTGCATTGAGGCTCAGAGCGTAGTGCAATTGTGGAGAAGAGATGTTTTTGGCTAAGGGCGACGAAGCGGCGGGAGACGAGGGATGAGGCTCGAAGGGATTCGACGTCGTCGCTCAGCCAGTTGATAACGGTGTCCACTAGTTCTTGAGGAAGGCAGGGACGAGAAACGGTGGCCATAATTCACCTGAAATAGAATTCCGAGATTTGAGTCAATTAATTTTCGTGAATGTTGTGGAAAGAGCAAAGAATAAGTATTGGAAAGTTGAAAAAGTTGGAGGCAAAACTTTGGCAAAATTGCTTTGCAACTGCTGACTTTGTGCTGACTCTGTGTTTACGTATGCGTCATTCGTCGGGCCGCACATTCCCGGCTGCCTCATTGTCAGGAAACTTTAAACTCGACAAGTCGACGATTAACCCCACAATCTAGATACATTCGCTTTCCGTAAACGAAGGATTTCTTCAGCGGTAGAATTCTTGTTGTTGCACGTAAGTTGGTGCAGATTGTAATGTTTGGTGTTGCTGTTCAAGAGCATTGATGGTTACGTAATATTTCGGTGACGTTAACGTGGGCCGGTTTGACACACATGCCAAACCTCCCCGTTCTCAAGGGGACCGCCAAAACATTTTTTGGCGCTGGATGGCCTGAGGTTTCAACAGCTAGGTGGGTATTTCAGACCTTTATGAGCGAGAAATTTTTTTCAACAGCTGCTCACAGGGATTCCAGAGTTCAAAGTTTCGCCCGGTTCAAAAAATCTCAAACTCCCTGTTCGTCGTTGGATAAGGCAGTTTTAGGAGGCAACGACTTACGTGCACGATGCCTTACCAGAATGGCCGAAACGGCGGGCGGACAGACCATTCAGTTCATTTTACACTATCTGGACCACCCTCAACCCCTTCATCGAGGACGGCTTCTCCAGCACCTTCTTACGATTCCGGACGACACTCTGCGCGTGCTGAAACGACGGATAGAAACAGCATGACTTATGACGACATTTATGGTTACAAGTTCCAAGAAAGAGAGGTACTTCCAGGCCAGCATTCGATGGACGTATACGATGCGACTTTGTCATGGTGGCGTGCAGCCATCAGGCGGAAGTTAGTGAAGGCTGTTGAGCGAGAGTCAGAGATGATTGCTACAATGCAGGTTAGCACCATAGCATTCTACTGAGTCTTATCAGTACACCAGTCACCTGCCCCGTCGTTCTTCAGCCCTCGTTTCAACACCATTTTTCGAAGTACTGACACGCACTTTCCAGAAAAGAATTCGTACTCCATGGCTTGACACATATTTTGTCTATACCTCCTCCTTGGGCACACACACGTTTTTCATGATTCTCCTGCCGACATTTTTCTTCTTCGGACACGATGAAGTAGGTCGTGGGTGGGTGTTTCGTCCTTCTCTTCGTAGCTGCCCTTTAACCGTCTTCGCCAGGCTTCTGATGGTCTTGGCACTCGGGGTATACTGTTCTTCTGTGTTAAAGGACTTGATTTGTTCTCCGAGGCCATTTGCCCCCCCTGTGACACGTCTCAGTATGTGGTCCTTCCAAACTCATGCCTCTATCGTGTTCAACCCGTCAATGCAGCTATTGGGAGCCATCATCTCGAATACGGATTCCCGTCGACCCATTCAACTAATAGCGTCTCCATCGCCCTTTTCTTTTTTGGCTATGTTCACACTATGGCCTCCTCTGGCACCATATCTCCGCAAACATACGCCATCCTCACTGTCATTCTCTCGATCTACACCCTTTCCATTGTCTTTGGTCGCATCTACACCGCTATGCACTCCTTCACCGATTGCATCATGGGAATAATCCTCGGTGCAGGCATCTGGTGGGGCCACACTAGCTGGTCCGGCATCTCAGTCGTCCTTGCCTCTTCTAACCCCCTCTTCTGGCTGTCTTCCGCGTTAAGAGTCAGCACCCGAATCGACAGCACTCACGCTGTCATATACGTGGGCAAAGGCCTCGGCGCAGGCAAATGGCTAGACAGCTGGGTTCTCCGTGGGGGATGGGAGGTTCCTATCATTCTAATCCCTATTGGTCTTTTCCTCGTTCATCAACATCCACAGCCCGTGGATGACTGCCCCTGTTTCGAGGACGCCATCGCGTTCATGAGCGTCGTCCTCGGCAGTCTTGTGGGCCGGTGGGGAGTCGAATACTCAGGCGTGGGTGCACTGATGGGCCGGACCATCGTCATGCCGGGCAGCGGGTGGCTCCTTGACGCGGGGGGACAATGGATCCAACTCGAGCGCGGATGGTCAGACGTGTGTCTCTGGTGGGGAGTTGCTGCGTTGAAGATGGTCGTGGGCATCTTAGCCATCTTTGCATGGCGTCTTTTCGCAAAATCTGCGCTTCATTTGATCCTTCCTCCAACGTATCGGCTGCTCGCCCGCGCGTTCCGTCTCCCTCATCGACGTTTTTATACTCCCGCCACGGAGTACAAGAACGTCCCTAGCGAATTCCATGTGGCAGGTCCTGGTGGAGGCTTTGGACTCCACCCTATACCCAGTGTGATTGATCTGCCTGCGACGGGCGATATTGGATTTGAGGTTGGTGGGATTGGCAGTGGTGTTGACATCAATGGGCCGGGGAACGATTTTAAGAAGATCCGGTCAGTGCATGGGTCTGCCGTTTCTTCGGAAAAGGGGGGCTTTGTGAACGTTAATGGGGTCGACAAAGACGAGGAAGATGAAAAGGTGAAACATTATGACGCGGATGGTTGGTGCTTCTTCTCAATGCCAGCTCATTGACTGAATGATTTCTCTTCTAGTTCTGACAAAGGTCATCGTCTACGCCGGAATTGCTGTCCTTGCTTCTGAGGTCGCACCTGTAATGTTTGAGATTCTTGGTTTGGGTGTAAAATCTTGGGTTTAAATCTGAGAGCTCATATGGGTTCGCTTATTTTACTCGGTCTTCCGACTCTGCGGTTTCTAATATTTCACTCATCGTATTTCCTACCATCTGTTTCCATTCACATTACGTCTATATCTCTATATCGTACAATCTTAGGTCACGGATAACAGTTTCTTTGGCTAGCAGAGGTCGTAAGGACGGTCCGAATTGAAGATTTTTTGGTCATAAGACGCATTTCACAAACGCTGGTGGGATGGAACCCAAACGCCACTTTCTTGGGAGCCAGAGATGACGCCATTGAGCTTGGAAAATTCTCCGACTCTCTCGTGCGAGAACCCTGGAACGTCAATCACCGCAACAAGCTTGTCAGGTTGTCTTAGCCAGAACGTTGCTAGCCAGGATTTCGTTAGCCAGGGACAGTACCGCGACAATCCCGCGAGGGTGTAAGCACTCACAGTGATTTGAATTGAAAACGCGGAGATCAGCAGTGGCGTTGAAGCGTTGTGGGAGTGTGGTGACCATTCGACTGCAGTTTATAAGCAGTGAGCAGTGGCGTCCCATCCGACCTGACCCGATAAAGGAGGGGTGTTTCCAAAGATTGGCTGGTGAAAAGAGACATGTGCAGCACAACTGTTTGAAGTAGATATTCATTGTCATAAGGTCTATAAAAAGTTCATTAGAATATGGTACATATCTCGACAGCTGCGTACCTGGTACATCGCAATGCGTCCTGTAAAGAAAAAAACACATCTAACGTCACCAGCCAATGTAAGACTCACGACCCGCACATGGTTTCGATCAAGATTCACCAAAGTGACAAGCAGGAGAACCACATACCTTAAAGAGGCAAGCCGTCATATGTTTCTTCGGCATAAATGTCCTGCAGGGAGTGCCGATAAGTCAAGGGCGCCTGCGAAGATGCATTGACAAGACCCATGCATTCGGTGTTATGTACAAACAGTGTTCATCGTTATTGTCATCGGCAGAAGGCTACAAAGTCTATCAGAATATAATACAACAACTGCATACCTGTAATGGAAAAATCGTCATGGGTCGTAGAAAGCGGAACGAAATACGTCTAGTGGCTATCGGCCAAGGTTCATAACCCACACATAGGAGTCCAACAGCGCCAGCTGCCTAGTACATGGATCTGATCAATCCAACTCAACTTTCCAGAAAGTGGGGAAACACTACCTGAAAAAACACACTCATCCTCTATATGCATCCGCCAGAATCAGCCATTATACATCATCCCCTCCCTATCCAGACTCATAAGCCGCGCATACTCCAAAAACATCCTAGGTACCGCCCCCCATCAGCCCCTGCCCTTTATATGGATTCAACAGAAAACAACGCACCGAAAGAAGTAAGCGGTCATATCCTCCTTTCTCCAAAACGTGCGACTCCACTCTCTCCCCTTGTACGCGATCTTTTTAGCAAGGTCGTCGTGGTTTCCCTCGCCATACAAGCCCCCACGGAAGAAGATGTATGCGTCGTATAGGTCGGAGTGATCCACTTGAATGGGGACGTAGTGCACCCATGGCTGGATGCGGTCGATCCACCTGCGGGGTTAGAGTTAGTGGGGTAGGAGAAGACGGAAGGGAGGAGGGGGATCTGCGAAAAGAAAGAGGAGGGGAAGAGGGGACAAGAGAAAAGGACAAACCATTCCGGGTATGCTGTTGCTTTGAACACCAGCGAGTTTGTCGTGATCAGACGTTTGAAGCGACTTGACCAGCCGTTTCCGTCCACCTACATCGCGAGGTTTAAGCAATGTGCTCAGATGGGGTCGATGAAAAACGAGAACCCACATCAACCAAATACTTATGATTCCCCGCGTCCTTCCCGTGCGCATTATAGTCGGGCTTGAAGTCGAAAAGCGTCTTCATATACTCACAATACGCCTCCGGCCAACACCCCAACGGTCTATCGGTAAATGAAATGTCCATAATCGCAGGGTTGAGCAAACTCTTCTTGACATCGACACCTTCACCCACCCTCCTCGTCGTTTCATCCCCCATCCCCGTGATATCCGAATCCAAAGGGGGCATCAAAACCCTCTCAGTCCCATTCATCTCATTCGTTATCCTCACAAGCCTAATCCGCTGAGAATAAATCCATCGCGTGCCCTTGTCATGATTCATCCCCGTATTCCTCCCCCTCCAAAGTAACCTCTCATCCGTCTTCTCTTCCCACTCCACGTCATTCTCCCTGGGGTGCACATCATCCATCCACGAGATGAACGATGGAGTCTGTAAATCATGGAACAGCGGAGTGGAACAGTATGCGAACTGCATAGCCAGTACGGGTTGGGGCTTAGGCCCCAGGTCATGTGCGACGTATTGGGCGTGGTTGTAGAATATCGATGGGTTTTGACAGGGGTCCATGGAGAGAAGGTGGTCGTGGATGAAGCTTTTGCCAGGGCGGGGTGGGGGACGGTGGAATTGGTCGACAGGAGCGTCTCGGACCGGACGGCCGGGCGAGTCGAATGGGCAGGCGGAGGCAAAGCCATAGTGCTTGGCTTCGGGGAGCTGTTTTAGGTCGATGTCTGTGGGAGGTCAGTGGGCCGGAAGTCTGAGGTAGTAAGGTACTTACATTTCCCTTCCTTCGCAGCGTCCAATAAGGCCTTCTTGACGTAGTAGTCAGTCAACAGGTTGGGATTATCATGCGGGCTGAATATCGCACGGAACGGTGGTAAGAGATGTTCGATCGGCTTGAGCAAATCCAAGATCTCGTCCAGGCCACGGAGAAGGTTCCTCTGCTCCAGCATCTCGGGGTTTTCATACGCCACTTTCACGAGGTCCGTACGGTGTGTCAGGTTTTTACCTATAGTGAACGAGTCAGTGACTTCCTCCTGCCTTTGTTGGATCTCCAGAAGGTCCTGCGGGCTGACCCCCCAGAAAGGCTCGAGGTCACGGTTAATAAAGTCATACTCGTCCGGCAGCTGGACGTTGTTCTCCTGTACATAATTCCACCTATTGCCATGTCAGACCATCGCGATTCGGGATAGGGGAGAAGAGATGTACCAGTCATCAAACCCCTTCGGAGGCGCGCGTTTATATCTACGCTTATACTCCACCACGGCTTCCTCGAGGGTTCTACTCGCCCTCTCCAGCTTCTTTTGCCACTTATCCTCGCCGTTCTTGATGAGCTCCAAAATGGGGTGTGCGCCGTCCGGGTTCATCTCTAGCATTCCATTTGGGAGGTACTTGTGCCACCCAAGTGGCTTGACCGTTTTCGATGGGGACGTAAGTGGTTTCTGCGCGGGAGGAGGCCGTCGCGCGACTGCTGTTTCTTCATGTTGTGGCACCGAAAGGCAGGGTTGGGGTTGTAGAGCAGCCCCAGGTGAGCCTCCCACGTCGCGATCTGAGTGGAAAGAGAGGGGCGAGCGCCATGAAAAGATGGAGACAAAGGAGGTTTCTGTGGTAGAGAGCAAGATGACGGCCACGACAAATGCCATGAGAAGATACTGATTCCTGTATCGGTAGCGGCGCGGCCTTGTCAACCAAGCCATTTTCTTGGCCAATCAAGGTTCTCTAGAGAAGAAGGCTTTCAAGGGGTCACCCGCAAGCGTGATACATTTGAGACTGACTCTTTGGCTTCTCAGTGCCCTCTTTATTCCTCCTCCCTAGTTCTCTGAAAACGTTTAGCTCAAAAGCCAAGCTACCTGGCTTGGATGCTGTGTGTCTTGAACGTTTGAACGCTTGAGCGGGCCTTGTGATGTGCTGTGGTGTGAAGGACCCGGCGATTGGTCGCCCATTTATATTTGTGGTCAATGGCAACGATCTTACCAGAACGCCAAGTCCCGACCTTCTGAACAAAAGGGGATATTCACGCCCTGAAGATCATTATGTTTTGTATTTGCTGCTGTTGTCTATTCATTATTGGGTGACTTTCCGTAACACAAATTCTCTAGATTTGAATAAATCGACGAAATCTAGGGTCCTTTGCCGGGATGCCGAGTCTTGTAAGGGTTCGACTTTGATGGAGTCCCTGGTTGGAACCCAGTTACAAACCTTAATCTATTCAGAGGGTACAGACCCCTCGAACAGATTTCAAACGCTGGAATCAACCCTGCCAAGGGGACACCTTTCCTTCCTGGGTACAATTCCTTCCCACATGGCTTAGTCAGCTCTGCCTCATCCCCTACTACTCTCCTACGGCTGGGGCATTCTGCTCCCTCTCGTTGCAGTTCAAAGCCACTACAGAGTCTATTAGAAGTGTCAATGTCTTATGGCTACAAAATCCCCTCCCGGAAACTGTTGCTCCCTTACAAACACCCTTCTTGACACCTAACTCACTGATCCACAGCCATGTTCAGCTCAACTTGGGATTTTTTGGGCTTCACCCAGCATGCAATCAGTATAATAAACCCATCCACGGGCCTACATGACCTCAGAGCAGCTCAGATGGGAGGAAAGTGAGTTTGTACAAGGCAAGCAAATACATCAAATAGAATCTAATCAGTTGGCATTATGGTTTATTCACTCCAATAAACTCTCCTGTGAAGTTCTCATTTCAAACTCCGATAAGGGTCAAATTTATTCATTTTTATAGATTTGAGTTACAGAAAGTCACCCATTCAATATTCACTGGTGCACCTCGACCATTTATACACATTCTCCTTAGCTTGGAGGTGCTCGACATTTTCAACTTATGATTAAGGCATTTTTGAAGAGTCGGAATGGTTGTATTTCTTTCTTTCTGTCGCCAGCATCAGTAATTGAGCAAATCAGTTTCCACAGGTTTCTCAACTCTGGCAACCTCCGAAAACCACTAAAAACCTCGAAACATTGAAAAATATCAAAACTTGGCAACCTATGTATCCTTTGGTGGAAACCCACCACCCAAATAGCATAAGATATACATGATCACTAGTCCCTGACCAGAGAAACCCTTAGACTACTGTACTAATACGACCATGTCTTCACGTCAAGCATCACAAAGGGTTGTGAAGGAAGGGAAGTACAGTTGAGTGCAAAAAGAATGAAGGTTGGTTCATTTTTCTGGTTCTTTCTAAGAATCTATTGTACCTCAAATGTATTTGTGTATTCTTTTACATTATGTAGTTGTGTTACACTTCCCTTGGTATGGACTAATTTCAGTGAAAGCTGGAGCCTTGAGAAGGTTTTTATTCTGGAGGCCATTTTTGGCATCTGAAAAAAAAGATATGTGCTAACTGGGGAGGTAGCCAGAACTTACCTCTGGTCAACCTGAATGAGCCTATCAAAGAATCAGTCAAAAATACTGAGTGGTTAGGTCTGTAGAGGCTTTGGAAAATGGCTTGTTTTGCCTAAAACAGGCCAAAAATGACCAAAATAGCGCAAAATGACCATTTTCTGGAGGCTCTACAAGCATAACCACTCAGTATTTTTAACTAATTCTTTGATAGGCTCATTCAGGTTGACCAGAGGTAAGTTCTGGCTACCTCCCCAGTTAGCGCATATCTTTTTTTTCAGATGCCAAAAATGGCCTCCAGAATAAAAACCTTCTCAAGGCTCCAGCTTTCACTGAAATTAGTCCATACCAAGGGAAGTGTAACACAACTACATAATGTAAAAAAATACACAAATACATTTGAGGTACAATAGATTCTTAGAAAGAACCAGAAAAATGAACCAACCTTCATTCTTTTTGCACTCAACTGTAGGCGTGATGTCACACATCACACCAAGTTTTGAAGAGTTTTTTTTTTTGAATTAAAAATAGTCATTTTTTTCCGGACCTGTGGTGCTTTGTTTTAAACATCACATTTGGCATATTCAGAACCATGTTATACCCAGCTAAAAAATTGACAGGTTGCTGGGCCAAACCGTCTGAGAAATATGTGGTGGACGAAGAGCAAAAACTCTTCATCATGCATCACACAGGACAATGAAGTGATGAAGAGATGGTCAAAAGGTGTCACACCCCAAAGGGCCTGAACAGTTGGTCGTATTAGTATAGTATTCCTTTTCAGGTTTCTGGAAACCCTGGCAACTTCCAAAACCAGTAAAAACCTGGAATCTATTTTGCCATGTTACTGATGAGCTCAATGAATTACTTACTTGTAATTTACAGCTTGTAACTTGTAAGAACGCGAAAGACCGGGGCCAAGCCCTCCAATGTCAACTGCTTGATACATATTTTATGTTCACCTTATCTTCAATTACTCTGTCAGTGTACCAGTTCAATCACCTGGGTGAAAACTGGGTTTGACTCCCAATCAGAGATTTCAGTTAGTATTTCAAAGTGTGTTTTTAATTTTTCGGTGATGCGCATCCTGGCGGGCACCATTTCCAATGTATACTGCACACTGCCAGTTCTCTATGAGTCTTTGTTTGTATATTGACTAGTACACGTTGGAGTGTCGGGCCTCGACACTCCAACACTGTGGGATACATGTTTGGTTGTGTTTGGCAAGGGCTTCGGAGTAGATACACTGTTTGTAGGCAGACATTCCCATCATCATCATCATTCACCTTGAGCATTGCGACTGAGCTCTGAGGAAGCATTCCCATCGGGTCACTTGGCACCTCTCCAACGTGCCCACCGTGACGAACAGATGCTTGAGTCAAGACACGCGAAAGCTGCGTTCAATTCCCAGACAGAGAAGAGCCTTGTGAAGAGCTTTGATTTTCTGAGTGGGTACACTGGCATGCCTTTCAGGCAACTAGATGCTGGATTTGAGGAGCGGGAAATTGTTTGGGAAACTTTTGTTTTCCGTTAGTACATAAAACACATCTCCGTTGGATGTGACCCACAGAAATGTTTTAGAGATAAATATGATTTTCTCCTTGTTCGATCGACGGTATGGTTTCATTACCTACACCTATTATATAGAACAGACACTCCTGATAAAATATTTGAGTCTCAAATCAGTTTTGTGATGCGTGAATATTTGACAACTCTCAAACAGAGCTTCAGACAGATAGAATTTCTGACTTATGATAAATTTCGTTTTTCATTGGTACATGCCCCAGCCATTTTATTTCTATCAGAAGGTTTAAATAGTGTATCTCCAATGCTGGATGCCCAGTAAATCATTTTCTCTCATATGACCTGCTGAATATATTACCTGCCTAGACCTATTAAAATCTTTGTTAGTACATTGGCCAGTGAGGCCATCGGAAGCAGTGACACGCAAAATCTGGGTTCAACTCCCAGACAAAGATGTGTTGTAATATGAGCCAGATTTATAAGTTTTCTATTTTCCCCCTAAGTACTTGACTTGGTGACAATTTGAAACTGTCTCTCTAAAGCTGAATGGGACACCCTATATACTTGAAAAAATGTTGATCCCCCCGGTGATTCACTTACATACAGCTATTAATGAATTCGCCTACTAAGTAAAATTCTTGTTAGTACATCGGCTGGTACATGTAGACAATGGTGATGCGTGAAAGCTGGGTCCAACCCCAAGGCCAGACATGAAGATAGTTCTCAAATTTTTCTTGGATTGTAAGTATAACGAGTCTAGACTTGGTTCCCCAATACTTACCAATATCTGGGGGTCTTTGTTCTTTGAGAGGTATGTTTAGGCAATTTATGGAGTGGGTCGACAAGGGAAAGATTTTTTGTCATTTGGACGTGAGCCAATGGGAAGCATCAGATCTATCTGATCCTTACTCAGTGTATACATACAAGCGAAGCCAAACAAAATTTGTTTTTGAACTTCGTGACCCAAAAACCCCAAAACCTCACACACTCAGGCTGTTGTGATTTCACGCCTAGTACAACACTAGACAGGTTCATGATTGTGCCATTCGTTTTCTCTAAAAACTCCAAAATTTAAAACTGGTGTAATTTGGCAAGGATCTTCAAGGATTTACTTAATTGGCCAGTGTCGATCTAAGGTCACTCCACGTTCCTGTAAACTTGTCCAACAGTGTCACTTATTTACAAATGTGGACCTTGCTTTTGAGCTCTGAATTTGGTGCGTCTTTTATGTCACTTGTTGGAGATAAAAGTGAAGATTTTGAACTTTTTCTGGCAGCAACGCTGGCCGAACCAAACGGAAAGGAAAGAGATTCCAAAAAGTTATTTATGTAACAGTTGGCTTCATTGCAGGTTAGGAATGCCAAGACACAGAAAGGTGACTATGACACACCACAACTAACTATCTTCAGTCACAAAAGAAGCATGCTTGGGAATCTGCCTGGAACCTGTACTTAACTCCATGACAGGTCCAACACTTGCTGCTCCCACCCATGTGGTCATCCCCACGAATAAGAAGAATCCCCTTGGTCATCACCTTTCTCATTGTACTCCCTGTCTTTTTCGTTCTGTATCAGGAGTCACACTCGCTCTTTCTGTTCTACAACATCCATCCCTACCCAAAATTCCGTGACGGAGCATGCGGTTCATGGGTGCCAGCACCTGAACGTGCCGCAGAGGCAGACAAATGGAACCAGCCTGGCTGGTGCCGTCCGTATACCTCACCAGCCAATGGGGGACCCGATGAGAAGGACAAAGAGAATAATATCTGGAGAGTGAGATCGGTCGCTTCGTGGGAGTGGGTATTGGAGGATGGGAAACCAATGAGGGCGTGGGATGCTGAAGCATTCATCGAGCGTGTGCTCAAGAGTCATGGGGGGGTGGTAGTTATTGGAGGTATATCTTAACTTTTGGTTGCTTCGTAAACAAAATTTTACACCTTTCATCTACAGATTCAGTGGCAGTCCAAATGTTGTACAGACTTGAAACACTTCTTGGCACACATCACGGAGATTGGCCACAGACGATTGCTCAGGATACAAAGGTTGATGATAAAGGGATGTACCTTCTCTCCTCAACACTCACCCTGGAGCCCGCGAACCCATTTTTCAAAAAGCTTCTTGCAAAACCCTCACTCGCATCAGTGCCTCGATCACGATTTTATCGACCTTTCCTCACCTCCTACCACTCAGACGTCCTCATGGATGAATCTGCACTCAACATTACGATGACCAAAGCCAGAATGATGGAGATTTTGAACCCTACACATCATATATCCAAGGGCGATTGGCGTCAAGGTCTGTGGAATGCCAGTAAGGAAGAAGGATGGCCCTGGGAACGCGATACTATTGTGGTCCTCAATAGCGGCCCTCATTGGACAACTTGGCCCCTTCATCCTGCGACAGACAAGCACATTATCAAAGGTTATACCACAATGGTACGTGGTTAATCCATGCACCCACCTACCACTAACAACATTACCACATTCAGATGGCTAGTGTACAGGAATTTTTCGCCAGTCTGCTGCCCATGCCTATAATGGCATTCTTCTGTGCTACAGTGGCCGCACACCAAAACTGTAACGTCCAGTCAAGCCCGGTACCCGCCAACTTGACTACAGCGTCTGATCCTGCTCCTCCTGGGGATAAGCTCAGGTGGCACCTCTTTGCAACATTCAACCGCATTGTGCAGGAATTCTTCTCAACCCCAAAAATGCAGTATTCAGATATATGGGCGATGACAGCTCAGAGACCTGACAGCCATAGCGGTTGGCTTAATGATCAGTACAACTGTCTTCACATTAGTCATTTATCATGTTCCTGTTTTTTTTCGTTTGTGCTGATATGGTACTGGTAATCTTATTCGCAGTGGTGTCACCCCTCCATTCCAGAGTGGTGGTCTAGGATTCTTTGGCACACAATCGTAGAGGAAGGACTATGATGTATAAATATCTAATTGACATTCATCATGATCAGGAAAACAGTTGAGACCCACCTGGACTTACATGATCTACGATACTTTGTAGGCCTCCCCCAATGTATAGGTATAATAGGTGTGAGGGGTCGATACTAAGGCATTCCCCTCTCTCGTTATATTTCCTATTCAACGATGTTTGTATCCTTCTCTAGCGCAATTCCTCTTCTACAATCTTCAGAGTCACGCAATCACGCTTAGTCATGTTTAGTCACGTTTAGTATAACTACCTTGTAAACAGAAAAGAATATTACTTCTTCTTACACCATATTCTTTTCCTATCTTGTTGCACGAGCATCGTACTCACGACTCGCCTCAAGCCTGTTGAAGATTCGCGTTCGAAGAGATCAAGGTCAGTTCCTATAGAACTAACTTTAGGAGCTCGTGTCTCCTGTGAAAGCTAACGAAGCTTTCTTGTATTTTCCCATTTCTCCGAAGGGACTTGTTCACTCCCTTCTGCGGCTTTCCGAGAAGGTTGAGACATCCGCGCTCGTGGTTATCCAGGGCATAAGCGGACTCTCGCGTGATCAGGCTTCTTCTTTCTCTCTAGATTCAGACCTGCATTTAGGGTCATCACACCATTACTCAACCCTTACGTTCGACGTTCGCCAGACTTACTCGCCGTTGGTAAGAATCCCACTCAGCGACTAAATCCCCTTAGAACAGGGTTGCGCAAAGGTGGACACTGTGGGAACCAACAGCAACCTGGCCGGCGTAACAGCAGACTTAGACCTCGGAGAGGACGATAGAGAGAGATCGAATAGATCGGGAGCATCACGATCAAGGCGAGGAGCTCCCCCTTCTTCTCTCAGCTTACCTTTCCAAAGATCATCTAGATCTGTCTCGCCAACGAAACAATCTTCTACCATCGGCAGTACTAAATCACCGGGATTACCTGCCAGCACTCGATTTCCTTCCGTTACTCCTTCGACTCTCAAACCCGCTTTACGAGCCGACTATACTAGTCGCTTTCAGACATCGGATAAGCAAAACAAAGGAGCTTCTACCTCAGGAAGAAACGTCACCTTCAGACATCACCTATTCCAACCAGCTAGAAACCCCATTAAGACTACCTTTCAACCTCGTCTAGCCGACTCCGTTATCGAATCATCGTTAGCATTCGATTTCAAATCCCCTACTCCCGTTACTCCTACTACGGACATCACGGCGACCGGAGAAATTCTGGCTTCCCCTCCTACTCAATTCCCCGACTCTCCACAAACTCATCTACAGTCATCCAGTCCCTCTATTCCATCCAACTCTAAAAACAACCCTAGTCCCATATCACCTCCTTCAGTAACGACATTATCTTCGAGGAATACGCCGTCACAGGAAGTAGAAGACATGTCGGCGACGGAAACTAGTATGACTCAACCGTTCCGTCCAGGCGGTGAAGGAGGATATGCAAGCTCACCAATGGCCAAGCTTATGGAAGAATACCAACAAGAGAGAGACGAGGAGCTTTCTACTTTACAGCGCGTTTCTAACTTAATCGCAAAGAAAACCCTAGCCGGAAGGGATATCATTTACTTAGATAGCGCGGACGCGAATATAGCGCTCGTTAATGAGCTATTGGCAGATATATCACAAGTAATAGGGGAGTTGCAATCATATTTGGAACGTACCTCCGGGCTCATTCCGGAAAGACGAAAGTGTTTCAAAGTTGATCCACGGGATACGTTCATGAACATCTTAACCGGGGCAACGGACTTGCCGCAATTACACGCGGCTTGGAAAGGGTTTAATAGGCGTATAACCTTAGCACAGGAGAACCTTTCCAAGTATGAAGCTCAGTACCGACAGCCTTACGAAGATTCAAACTACGTAGTCCCAACTTCTCCCATTTCTACCGATCCGGAAATCTACGAAGTAATGTCCGACTTGGGGGAGTTGGATTCGAAAATGAGGTACCTATATCAAAGTGTACCGCACCTCCAAGAAGAAATTCAGTCCCCAAGAAGACTAACGGATGGGTCGACTTGGGATAAAATTCTGCCTCTCCCCGAGAATCTAGCCGAACTGCACTATAACGAATCAAATACCCCGTTTGTAGGAACACGTCAAATCTTCTCCAGAGACAAGGGTAAAGGTAGAAGCCACGAAAACGATATCGGTATTCCCACCTCACCTCGAATGTTGAATGTGGGGTATGGCACTCCTTTCCGTTCAAGTTCGCAATTTTTCGACAAACCAGATAGGCAAAAATTCCCACTACCTGTCCCTACCGTACTTTCCAAGCAAAGTGTCTTAGTAGGCTTAGGCCTTCCCGACACGCCTGCTTTCCAGAATTTAGACGACCCTTCCCGAGGAAGGAACGCTCTGCAGTCTAGACGCTCAAATCCTTTTGAACAAAGGGATCAAACAAACATCAATCGGGGAGCGTCTACCGGTACATTCAACTTACCCTCCAATGATCCTAACCACTCTAATCGTGGAAACGGAGGAAATAGTAATCCTTCGGGGGGCGGAGGAGGAATTAACAGTGGCAACAATCCATACAGAAGTCAGGACGGCGACAATGAAAGTTCGTCTTCCTCCGGAACTTCGAATCTCGTTCCTCGAAATCATGGAGGGGGCGGCAACGGTCCTCCTGGCGGAGATCCTCCTGGAGGAGGAGGAGGAGGTCCGAACAGAGGAAATTTTGGAAATCAGAGAAACGAAAATCAAAATCAAGGCCTGATACCCTACGGCGATACTAGAGCGACCATTAGAAACGATCTAAAACAGGATCAACTTCCTATATGGGATGGTAACAAAGATACGGCAATTGAATACTTTTGGAAAGTACAACAGTTAGCCGCATTGGAAGGTGACATCCCGCAAGCACTAGGGTATTGGCTATGGAAAAGCTTAAAAGAGAACTCTAAGATCTGGTGGTGGTTTTCTACTTTGTCGTATTCAGAACAGGCAAAGATGAGGACGCACTACTTGTACTATCTCAAAGGGATCAAGGATAACTATTTGGGACGAACTTGGCAGATTAGTATGAATACGAAGTACGAAAGCCAATCGTTCCGCCAGGAAGGATTTGAACGCGAGTCACCACCAGCGTTCATTACTCGCCGCATTATGCACACTAGGATGTTAGCTGCTTCGGACGACGGAGGTCCCACGGAAGTTTATTTGGTGATGCAGAAAGCACCTATTTCATGGGGACCAATTCTGAATATCGAAACAGTTAGGAGTACATCCTTGCTTTACTCACGAGCCACCGACCATGAGTACGCACTCATACATGCAGCGAAATATGAGTCATCAAATATCCTCACATCGGACAATTTGCTGTCAACGTTAAGGCGGTTGGGAATTAGCACTGATCGGAATCGCCCTTTCGAAAGATCTGCTAAACTCGTCAGTTCTGACGAAACAAAAGAAGATGAGGTGATTCACGAAGCATTCTTAGGTCAGCTAAGTAGAGAAGAATGCGAGCATGAAATCTCGTCTAGTCCTAGGGCAATAAAGGAAGCGTACCAGGTGTTGAAAAAGAGACAACGCCCTCCTCCTAAAGGAGGGTATCCATATTGCAAAAACGACCACGTTACTACTAAAATGGGTCGTTTACCCCCCTCCCCTTGCAAGGTATGCGGAAGCGAAAACCATTGGGACAAAGAATGTCCAGATTGGGACGTCTATCAAGCGAAACAGGGGAAGTCAGCTTACCGCATCGAACTCAACGAAATAGAGGACCTCGAGAATTATTATAGCAGCGTGTATTCGGTTCTCGTAGCAGAACGTTTAGCAAAGGAACATAAAACGATTGAAGACTCGGAGAAGGGTTTTGACGAGGCTGTTCTACGAGCTCAGGAGGAGCTCCATGATGTAAGAGAACGTAAGACCTACAAAACAACGGAACCCTGGAGGAAGCAAACGATGTTCGCGGAAGAGGTTGAAGATGAATATTGGGTGGAGTATAGAGCTAAAGAAAAATCGGAAACCCATCTATTGTATCAAATCGGGGAGGACGACGACACGGAACAACAAAAGGAAGTACACACCGCTTCTAAAAGCGAAAGAGTTCCTAGACCAGAAGACGTCAATCCCGAAAGACATTCAAGGGACGATTTTGCAAGCTCTCCTAACGATAAATTCAAGGCTTCAACTTCCGAATATGTTCCATCAGAGGAGATGAAACCTGCAGAAATAAAAGACCCACCTATCAGCAGTATCGACCCACCCCCATCAAAGGAAAGATTTATCCGCATTCCTAAGGTCCGCTCGAGGCCCGAAGGGACATCCGCCATCGGAGTTTCCGTACTCTCCGTCAGAGGACATGTAGGATCTTTAAATAACAGTGAGACAGACCTTCGATTGGACTCATGTGCGGACATAACTTTGATATCAAGCGAATTTTATGACTCGCTAGTTGATAAACCGAAGATAAAGCAGGGTATGCGGATGCAGCTATGGCAGTTAACAGATAAAGACGCGAAGCTAAGAGGATTCGTTAGCATACCTGTTTACATGGTCAGCGAGGATGGGGACGTCATCGAAACGGAAGCGGAAGCTTACGTTGTTCCGAACATGACGGTTCCTATACTTCTGGGCGAAGACTTCCAACAATCTTATGAAACTTGCGTCACCAGAAACGTCGAAGAAGGCACTCACATTTCATTCCGACGACATGATTACCGAATTAAGGCAGTTCCCGTGGAGCGGACGAAGGACTTCGGTCGATTGCGTCAAAGTGCCTACATGGTTGGACAATTCGTGCGTCGTCGCCTTCATCGGCGTAACAAAAATAAGAGACACCGTCGCAAGGTAAAATTTGGTCTGGAAGAGAAAACCGTGAGAGCAGCAGAAGACTACCGTCTGAAGCCTCACGAAAGTAAACCTATCCGGGTGGAAGGTCAATTAGGAGAGGACCGGGAATGGTTAATACAGAAAAACCTACTCGCGAATGCGAACGATTCGTTCTTCGCCGTCCCTAACG